CATACTTTTCACCCATATATACTTTTTACCCAGAGACTTCACCCAGAAACTCTTCTTGCACATACTTTTCACCCAGATACTTTTCACCCAGAGAACAAAAATATGATTTCTCAGTATTTGAAGTTAGGTCAATCGGCGAGGCAGCAAAGGACCATAAGAATGCACTAAATCTTGAGCGAATAAGGTATGCTGCCCATCTTGCTAAAAAGTACCATCATGGAACTTCTGCACATCACATGGTGTTAATCAAAACGGCCATTTTTCCATTGCTTTTCCAATGTTTCACGCGTGCTTTACGTGACTTGGCATCATTTTACCCTCTCCTCATTGTTTCCACCGTTGTAATCAATTTTCCAAGCGTTCTACTCAAATTTGCCATTGCTTTCCCATTCTTTTCCCATTGTTTTACGTCATATTCCCTCATTTGTTCATTGTTTATCCCAAATTTCAGACATATGGCATCAAGATTGCATTGCTTACAAAATTTGGGCAAAAACTGAACTTCTGCACATCACATGTGTGTCATCTCCTCATATCGAAACTGCAATTTTTCCATTGCTTTTCCATTACGCGATACAGGACCATAAGAACGCACTAAATCTTGAGCGAATAAGGTATGCTGCCCATCTTGCTAAAAAGTACCATCATGGAACTTCTGCACGTCACATGGTGTTAATCAAAACGGCCATTTTTCCATTGCTTTTCCAATGTTTCACGCGTGCTTTACGTGACTTGGCATCATTTTACCCTCTCCTCATTGTTTCCACCGTTGTAATCAATTTTCCAAGCGTTCTACTCAAATTTCCCATTGCTTTCCCATTCTTTTCCCATTGTTCATTGTTTATCCCAAATTTCAGAATGAAGATTGCATTGCTTACAAAATTTGGGCAAAAACTGAACTTCTGCACATCACATGTGTGTCATCTCCTCATATCGAAACTGCAATTTTTCCATTGCTTTTCCATTACGCGATAATGGTCCCACATCGGAGCCTCAATTTTACTTGGCATCATTTTACCCTCTCCCTATTCTTTCCACCGTTTTTCCTCGCGTATCAATTAGCGTTCTACTCAAATTTTCCCTTGCTTTCCATTTTTTCCATTGTTTTATATCATAGTCTCTCATTTTTTCCATTGTTTTTCTCATCATTTTCCCTCCTTTCCCATTTTTTTCCCATTGTTTTATGTCATATTCCCTCATTTTTTCCATTGTTTTTCTCATCATTTTCCCCTCCATTGCAATCTCCCCAAGTCCACCTCGGAGGGCGGACCAGGGGGGAATCGATACCCCACCGTCACCCAATTGCCACCTGGTACATAAGCCTAAAAAACTTTACCTGTGGCCACCTTTTTTACCACCTAATTTCCCGATTTTTGGCCAGTTGGGGGCGCTCTGCCCCCAGACCCCCTTAACTCACTTTGTTCGCAAAAAGAACTTCGCCTAGCCTAGCGGCTGGCTTTCGTGTTCCCATTGTTTTACGTCATATTCCCTCATTTGTTCATTGTTTATTATGGCATGAAGATTGCATTGCTTACAAAATTGTGGCAAAAACTGAACTTCTGCACATCACATGTGTGTCATCTCTTCTTGGATACCACAACAAACTAAAAGAATGAGATTTATAATAGATGGTCAAAAATATGATTTCTCAGTATTTGAAGTTAGGTCAATCGGCGAGGCAGCAAAGGACCATAAGAATGCACTAAATCTTGAGCGAATAAGGTATGCTGCCCATCTTGCTAAAAAGTACCATCATGGAACTTCTGCACATCACATGGTGTTAATCAAAACGGCCATTTTTCCATTGCTTTTCCAATGTTTCACGCGTGCTTTACGTGACTTGGCATCATTTTACCCTCTCCTCATTGTTTCCACCGTTGTAATCAATTTTCCAAGCGTTCTACTCAAATTTGCCATTGCTTTCCCATTCTTTTCCCATTGTTTTACGTCATATTCCCTCATTTGTTCATTGTTTATCCCAAATTTCAGACATATGGCATGAAGATTGCATTGCTTACAAAATTTGGGCAAAAACTGAACTTCTGCACATCACATGTGTGTCATCTCCTCATATCGAAACTGCAATTTTTCCATTGCTTTTCCATTACGCGATACAGGACCATAAGAATGCACTAAATCTTGAGCGAATAAGGTATGCTGCCCATCTTGCTAAAAAGTACCATCATGGAACTTCTGCACATCACATGGTGTTAATCAAAACGGCCATTTTTCCATTGCTTTTCCAATGTTTCACGCGTGCTTTACGTGACTTGGCATCATTTTACCCTCTCCTCATTGTTTCCACCGTTGTAATCAATTTTCCAAGCGTTCTACTCAAATTTGCCATTGCTTTCCCATTCTTTTCCCATTGTTCATTGTTTATCCCAAATTTCAGAATGAAGATTGCATTGCTTACAAAATTTGGGCAAAACTGAACTTCTGCACATCACATGACATGTGTGTCATCTCCTCATATCGAAACTGCAATTTTTCCATTGCTTTTCCATTACGCGATAATGGTCCCACATCGGAGCCTCAATTTTACTTGGCATCATTTTACCCTCTCCCTATTCTTTCCACCGTTTTTCCTCGCGTATCAATTTTCCAAGCGTTCTACTCAAATTTTCCATTGCTTTCCCATTTTTTCCCATTGTTTTATATCATAGTCTCTCATTTTTTCCATTGTTTTTCTCATCATTTTCCCCTCCTTTCCCATTTTTTTCCCATTGTTTTATGTCATATTCCCTCATTTTTCCATTGTTTTTCTCATCATTTTCCATCATTTTCCCCTCCTTTCCCATTTTTTCCCATTGTTTTATATCATATTCCCTCATTTTTTCCATTGTTTTTCTCATCATTTTCCCCTCCATTGCAATCTCCCCAAGTCCACCTCGGAGGGCGGACCAGGGGGGAATCGATACCCCACCGTCACCCAATTGCCACCTGGTACATAACCCTAAAAAACTTTACCTGTGGCCACCTTTTTTACCACCTAATTTCCCGATTTTTGGCCAGTTCGGGGCGCTCTGCCCCCAGACCCCCTTAACTCACTTTGTTCGCAAAAAGAACTTCGCCTAGCCTAGCGGCTGGCTTTCGTGATCTATAGAAACACGTGTTGTTTTGCCCGATGCGTGAACTTGAAGCGTAAGTTCTGCGAAGAACCGAAAGACAAACCAGTCCCAACCGTGACACCGTATAAACGGTTTCACTCGCTGATTCTATGGTTTTCTGTCTGTGCGTCGACTCGATACTGGTCCCATCGGAGCCGCAATTTTGCCATTGTTTTTCCATTGTTTGACTCCACTTCTTCAGCATAGTCCCTCAATTTTTCCATTGCTTTCCATCGATCCACATCGAAGCCATATTTTTTTTGTCATTGCTTTTCCATAGTTTTACTCGACATCATTTTCCCCTTCATTCCAGTCTCCCCAGTGTTTTTTTCACAGTTTTTCCTCCAGTTTTACTCAATCGTCCCATAGCTAACACTATCAATTTCTCCTTCCATTTCAGCGATGTTTCCAGTGTTTTGCCACAGTGTTGCTCGATTTCTCCATTTCATCATTTTTTTCCAGTGTTTTGCCATGGTGTTACTCGATTTCTCCATCATACCCTTATGTTACCCCAGTGCGTCGAACCTTCCACAATCCCTACAGTTGCACCGCATAAACGGTTTTGCTCGTTTCTTCCATGGTTTTCTTTCCGTGCGTCTACTCCATAGTGGTCATACATCAAAACGGCCATTTTTCCATTGCTTTTCCAATGTTTCACGCGTGCTTTACGTGACTTGGCATCATTTTACCCTCTCCTCAGTGTTTCCACCGTTGTAATCAATTTTCCAAGCGTTCTACTCAAATGTTCCATTGCTTTCCCATTCTTTTCCCATTGTTTTACGTCATATTCCCTCATTTGTTCATTGTTTATTATGGCATGAAGATTGCATTGCTTACAAAATTGTGGCAAAAACTGAACTTCTGCACATCACATGTGTATCATCTCCTCTTGGATACCACAACAAACTAGAAGAATGAGATTTATAATAGATGGTCAAAAATATGATCAGTATTTGAAGTTAGGTCAATCGGCGAGGCAGCAAAGGACCATAAGAATGCACTAAATCTTGAGCGAATAAGGTATGCTGCCCATCTTGCTAAAAAGTACCATCATGGAACTTCTGCACATCACATGGTGTTAATCAAAACGCCCATTTTTCCATTGCTTTTCCAATGTTTCACGCGTGCTTTACGTGACTTGGCATCATTTTACCGTCTCCTCATTGTTTCCACCGTTGTAATCAATTTTCCAAGCGTTCTACTCAAATTTGCCATTGCTTTCCCATTCTTTTCCCATTGTTTTACGTCATATCCCAAAATTTGGGCAAAAACTGAACTTCTGCACATGACATGTGTGTCATCTCCTCATATCGAAACTGCAATTTTTCCATTGCTTTTCCATTACGCGATAATGGTCCCACATCGGAGCCTCAATTTTACTTGGCATCATTTTACCCTCTCCCTATTCTTTCCACCGTTTTTCCTCGCGTATCAATTAGCGTTCTACTCAAATTTTCCATTGCTTTCCCATTTTTTCCCATTGTTTTATATCATAGTCTCTCATTTTTTCCATTGTTTTTCTCATCATTTTCCTCTCCTTTCCCATTTTTTTCCCATTGTTTTATGTCATATTCCCTCATTTTTTCCATTGTTTTTCTCATCATTTTCCCTCCATTGCAATCTCCCCAAGTCCACCTCGGAGGGCGGACCAGGGGGGAATCGATACCCCACCGTCACCCAATTGCCACCTGGTACATAACCCTAAAAAACTTTACCTGTGGCCACCTTTTTTACCACCTATTTTCCCGATTTTTGGCCAGTTAGGACCGCTCTGCCCCCAGACCCCCTTAACTCACTTTGTTCGCAAAAAGAACTTCGCCTAGCCTAGCGGCTGGCTTTCGTGATCTTAGTTTTGCCATGTTTTGACATAGCTGCTCATTCGGGGCTGGCCTCCTCCTCCTCATCCGAGACCAAGGATGCCAAGCTCCGACTCGACCAATGCTTCGCAGCGGCCTGGATGGCCTCTTCGGAAAGGCCACCCTGGTCGGAGGGTCCGAATTTGGCGATCTCGCCCAGCATGTTATCCACAAGGACATCCATACCTCCAGGGGAACATTTTGGGTTGGGGGATGGGGAAACTACACTTGTGATCTTGAGGTGTAGGGAAAATTGAGGATGTTTTTCCACAATTGGAGTTGTACACATCTCCTTTGTGAAGGCTCAGCAGTTTTTAACCCCCCGAATTCTTGGATCCTCTTGGGTCCTGAGTCACGTCTCACCCGCCTTCAAAGACATGCTCAAATCCAGAGACCTGCCTTGGATTTGCTTGAAGGACCCCACCAAAAGGGTTTCCCAGGATTTCTGGGAAATCCAAAGACCCCCTCTCTTGAAAAAGTCATCATCAAAGCGCCAAAATCATCCAAAATCCAAGCTGCTGAAGTTTGTTCTTCAAATCTTCCTTGGACACAACACCATCACCATCCGCATCCAGCGCCTTGAAAGCCTCCGGTTCGATGCTTTCATCGCCACTGTTCAAACCAAGTTCCTGAGGGTAACCCAGTTCCCCATCGGGGAATCTTGGAGGAATGGGACAACCATTGAAGCTAGGCAGCTAGGACTTAGGAAAACAGAGTAATATACAGCAAAACAAGTGCAAATAACATCAAATAACATCAAACAACATCAAATAATATCAAATCACTGCGTAAGAATTCAATTTACATGGCGCAAGTTCCCACGAAGATAAACTCAGATTTTGGAAATCATCCCTTCCAGCAGTTCACCATTCTGTGGCTTTCACCCGTCCTTCCATATCCGGGTCCAAAGCTGCATGGCAAAGAAGTTCAGCAGCAGAGCATGCACCGGCCGACCGGAATCCGGCTCCGGAAGCTTCTCCGGGTGGTCTTCAAAATACTGACCTGTCTGGTGGGGTTGGTGCTGGTTCCACCATTGTGGTGCAAGCAAGCACCCCCAGTCATATGTGTTGCTTTACAACTCCCATTTTCTATAGATTCATGCTGCAATTATCTGCCATAAACCTATAACCCCCATATACACATTAGACACAAACCAACTAAACTATTACTATGACGCAGCACTTTGCACCACATATAGATGTCACTTTGGATCATCTGCATATAGAATGCCCGTAAAATGGGCACCGAAAGTCCCCAAAACAGGCTTTAAACAGGGTAGTATCTTAACTTAATACTCTTAAGTTTCTTAAGCATTCCTCCATTTATATAAATATAATCTCCAATTGTATAACTTGTGGCCAAAAAAAATCCAAAAAGTGAGGCCATTTAACATGAAACCACGCCAGCCCAGGAGCCAATGGAAGGTGCATCCCGCTTACGCCAGAAGTCCACGATGGTAGCCACCTTGTAGACGCGTTCCGGGTCTAAGGGCTGCTTTCCAATGGACACCACATAGCCATCATCATCCAGCTCCACCTTGAAAAAGGTGGCCAGGTGGTGGTGGTGATTGTCGCTATTTGCTTATTTTAATACTGCCAATTGGTAAATATTTTTTCCGGACACATGTCATCCATTCCCGTTTCATGGTTCAACCTCATATGTTGCCTCGTTCAATCCCCAATTTTTGTTGCTCCAAACATACCATGCGCTGTATTGGTCAAGCAATTGGAGGGCTGGCTCGGAAACAGGCGGCACTGCGGCACTGGACCTTTGGGGGTTGAGAATGGCTTGAGCCAATTCTGGTGCCTAATCATTTGGTTTGGATACTTTTAGATACAAAAACCATCATCCCGCCAAGTCATGGAAAAAACCTCTGGCTAAAACAATGCCATAAACCATGCCCCAGTCATCACCACACACATATCATATAATATAGGTTGTATATGGTGGTATATATAAACCATTCCGAGTCATGGGTGGTTTATGGCGTTGTTTTCCCCACATGAAATGCCAATTGCCATCATGATGGTCAGGTCGCCTCATCATCGTACTGCATCCAGCCAGGGTTGGGGGCGCCAAAGGTCTCTCTGAGTCCCACTCTCAAGACCGAGCCAGGGACCGGGACCACCAGAATCTGCTTCACCTCCTGGCACAACATCCATTGGTTGTTGGCGTTCCCAATCCCCCACTGTCATCAGTTTACATTCCCACACTTGAATTGCATATAAATATATATATACATATATATATATATATTATATTATATACATATATATGTGCGTGTATGTATATATATATCTCTCTCTCTCTCACTCTCTTGTTATATGTATGTATGTATGTATGTATGTATGTATGTATGTATTTGCCAACCCCCGTCCTCAATCTCTGTCTGCAAGACCTCCAAATTGATGTGCTCATCATCCTTGTACTCCCGCCCACCACGGATGTTTCCACCCTTTAGCAGTGCACAGTCCACGTACCTCTCGCCCAGGGGCATGTCCATATTCATAGCATCCCTGATGCGCGAGAGCAAGAAAGTACCTGAGCTAAAGGGTAGCATCCCTCACCACACATGGTCAATGGACTGAGGTCCATCCCCATGGGACTGTGGTTAAAAAATCATTCATTGGGTTAACAAAAAAACTCAAGCGTTTGAAACCACCAACCATCTGCCTATGTATATATACACATATGTAGATCTATATATCATGTATATATGATATGTATAACATGCTGTGTAAAGTGTATATGTATATACATATATGATGGATAAAAACGTATGTATGTATAGTACGTGTATATTTGTTACATCCCATTCTGGTTCTCCCTATCCGCAAGAAGTACTCAATTAGGACCATCATACTAGGTAGGATGCAGATCAAATGCACATGAAAGATACCTGCAACCACCAGTCAGTTCATTAGCCATATGCCCATCATATCCCAATGGTTACACATCGATACCATATCGATATTTGATGTATCATTGTGGATTAAATCGCATGTGTGGGTCAAGTCCAAGTTGTCCCGATTTCGATTTTGCTGGTGAAATGTTCAGATTTTTTCGCAATCACAAAATCCATCAAAATCCCCAAATCTAAATTTTTTAAATTTTCTGGTCGATCCTGTTTGGGTTCCCTGGTTTCTCATCGATTTTCCGCATCGTTTTTCACGTTTTTTGGGTGCCCAAGGTGCCCATGGAGACCCTTTGGCCACGTGCTTGGACGGAGGATAAGGGACGATAAGAGGCGGACACCTGCCATGGGAAATACCAAGGGGAACATATGGGTATGGGTCAATACCTATTAATACCATTTTTACGGGGATGAACATCCATAAATCCCAGCTATTTTGATGTTTACCAGGGGTACAAGGTCTTGACACACTGCCATATAGACATACTAAGAAGATGTCTATAGAACGATGATAAATCCCATCTTGTAGAATTTTCTGGATGTAGGCAGAATTGATGGATAAATCAATATTAAGTGAAGCCTCGGGACCTGTAGTATTACCCTCTGGTAAACTAACATAACTATGGAAAGATCCACCATTTTTAATGGGAAAATCCACTATAAATGGTCATTTTCAATAGCTACGTTAAATTACCAGAGGGTATCTATTATTGGAGGATCATATTGGCAAATCATCGATTTTTTTACTCATCATTGGCTCATCATCAGTAGGTAAAACATCTAGCTAATAACTCTATAGCAAATAATAATGGTCATGGCCAATTTACCACGGCTATCTTCAAATACCGGAGGCTATACATACAGTATAGATATACACTACATATACATATAACATACATACATTACATTACATTACATTGCATTACATTACATTACATTAACATAACAAAACATTACATAACAAAACATAACATAACATAACATACATACATACTATATGTTGTGAATTTTGAAACGTGGGCAAAACATGCATTATATAATTACATAGAAAGTAGCCTCAACAGCCGCATGTTTCGCATGTTTCGTCCATCTGGTCACTGCCTGCGTCAATTCCGTCCTTCTCAATGGATCCAAGACTTTGTAGGAGTCTTCCGCCACTTTCTTTAAAGCTTCATCTGGTGGCCAGTCAGCCACATTTACCTGGTTCTGGCTTTTCACCCTTTGGCAATCATGGTCAATCTTTAAGGTAGCCCGCAATTAATCTTCTGCTGGTCATATTTTTCCTCCCATTTATATATAGCACAAAACTAAAGGATGAAACTATCTATCCAAAACTCGGATGAAATATGCTAATCCATTGGGATCATCCTCCATCCGAGTTACGATCTCATACTCGATAACTGGCGTCCGGTTGGAGGATGCAGTGGGCCAGGACAGATCCAGAATGACTGCTTTGATGCCATCTTGCCCTGGCTTTAAGAGCCTCGTTCCCTCCACCAATCGGTCCACCACATGATGATCATGGCCACTGAGAACCACCGGAAAATCGAAGTCCCTGCAGGTCTTTTCATCCTGCGGCTCGTACAAATGGCACAAAGGCACCACTACCTGAAGGCACTTTTTTGGGCCACACAGGGCCCAGCAAACAGATCAAACAATGCCAGATTTCTCCCAAATTGCTGGATCTACCGCTGATAAAACACCAAAATCAGGTGGATATTAAACAATATATTAAACATATCAATATAAAACATATGTGTATTTCTCACCCCAAGCTGCATCACAAGCCTTTTGCTCCAATTTCTTCTTGTAGATGGCCATGACCTCCCATGGATCTTCAATCTTTGCACCCCCAAAGGCACCAGGCCTATACAAGCTGGGCGAATTGCTCAGGAGACCAATCAGCCCTATCCTGCGCTTGTTGCTGCCATCCAGGGACTCAACTTCTATGATCTCTTCCTCCACTTGGCACGTGGAGTCTGCAAAGGATTCATGAGTCTTCATGTTGGTGTTGATCCACACTCCTGTGTACTCACGCTCGCGTTTCATGACTTCCTTGTGAGGAATATCATCCTCGTGATTGCCCCAGGTCAAGTAGTCGATGGGAGTGCCATTCAGCATTTTCATCATGCCAACACCCATGTCGATTGACGACAGCAGGTAAGGAGCCAAGAAATCTCCTGTCAGCATGCTGATGGTTTGCCCACCACATTTGTGCCTGAGTTCAAGGGTCTTTTCCTTGATCAGCGTCCTTAGGCTGGGAAAATTGTCCAAGACATAGACATCGGTGATTTGGACTATCCGTAAGGTGCAGGCTGATTGTGATGATCCACCCCTGAAAACGCGTGCCACCCCCCTGGAACAGTCACAAGGCAAGCTACTGGACCCCCCCATAGGCACCAAGGCCTATGGGGGGGCCGCCCTTTTCTGCGCGAGTTTCTGAACAGCTAAGCGGCTGAAGAAACATATCCATGTCTCATTGTTGAACAGAAGTGTCACACCGTGTCACACCTGCACGTTGAACATTCATGGTGTTTTTTTTCAAATAACATGTACGGTATGTACATATTGGTTGTTCAATGGTGCCCATCCATTGATCGACCAACCAAAAAAGGTGCAGCATATGAATCGCGCCTGCAAAATAGTGAGCACGGCTTTCCACAGGGAGCCCACGTACAAATCTGCATCGCTCCACTCCTGGTCACTGGAGATGGAAAATCATCAACTTGGAGGTCCTGTGTCCTGATGCCTTTGGCAAGCACAAAGACTCATGATCCTTTTTGCTTGTTTTGGCTCCTCGAATGATGGTTTTTCATGGCTTCAGTTAAAACAAGGGAGAAGGAATCAGCGGCACGTGCAGCTGTAATTCTGGACACTGAAATCCATTTTCGTGCCAAGAAACCCGTCGTATGTCAATATCTTGCCCAACCATCGTGCAAACGATGACTGCAAAGATGAACAGGAAAATAAACAGGGCCATCGTCACCCAAACCTGCAGCCATGGCAAGGCGCTCCCCTCATGACAGGTGAGCATTCCACAAGAATTGGCGAGTCGAGTCAAAAACTTGGTACCCTATAGGTAGCTTGAAATAGCTGCAGCAAATGGATGCTTATTCCACCAAAGAGGTTCAAAAAGTGACACATCCCCATATCTAGTAATTCATGTCTAGTTTAACCATGTTTAACCCAATGACCCCGCTGTTGGTTGAGGGTTGAGGCCATGAGGCCGTGAACCAAAATTTGTGTTCACCAGGTGCCACCAAGAAGCAACCGCCAGTAGCGAATCCAAACAACCCTGCACGATGACCCATAAACCTGAAAGTTAAGATCAGTTGGGACAAGGCATCTATCAGGATCGTGAACTGTTTGGCGAAAGGCTACAGCAAAACAAGAATCATCCATGAAGAGGGTATTCTATTCAGTTCCATGTCTGGTATGGCGGCTTCAAGTCAGACCATCCCCAAAATTACTCCAGCCTTTGCGAATTCACGCCATACTTTACCATTAATTCCAGGGCTGGCCAGTTCGAAAAGTGCTAGCATCCACTCAAGAGGTCCTTGCCTGACAATGCTTTCAGCCCCTTGATGCTGCGATAAATGCGCAGAAGCCGCAGAATGCGAAGGGACTTGGCAATACCCAGGCCGCCGGACTCTGGAAGTGTCACAGAAACCTGACCAGCCGATGGATATCGATGATGGGAGTCCCAAACGTTTCAAGACTCATTGGATTTTCATGTGAACCCATGGTTTTAACATGTCTAATCTAACCCCCTTCTCATTTCTCCTCTCTGCCCAACCCTGGTTCTCATTGAGCGTTCCTAAAATTCCAAAGCCTTGTCTACATCTTAAGTCTTTGCAAAAGCAAGTGCAAACCCGAGTGTAAGGATTGCTGTAGCTACAGCGGAAACAATGGCATGATCCAGTCAAGAGCAATGCGGTTCAGTGGATACATGACAAATACCAACATTCAAAAAGCAGGCCACCAGAATTCACATGTAACATCATTAACATTATTTGTCCAATCGAAGTCAGATGAAACACTCAAAGTGCAACGGCAAATGCACAAACGCAAAGCTGCAATGTTTCACCCATCCACCGGCTACACTGCGAAATGTCAAAACGCTCTCAGGGCCCCTTATAAGCCAAAACACAAGGTGCAAACGGTATCAGCAGGATGACATGGATTGCATGACATTTTCAATTTAAACGTAACATATTTATAGCATCATTTGACATCCTTTCAAATCATAATCGTTTTGTAAATATCACTTTTTCTCCAGCACTTGAACCAACTACGATCAAGAATACCACCTGGTGGACCTGAGCTGCAGCTCAAGGGGCAACGATATCAGCTCCGCTAAGAACAACCAGTGTATAGTCGTAGACATTCCAAGAGTCCTTAGTTGAAGCGACTTTTCTGACTGGAACAAGTCGGAACCAGTGTATAGTTCCAAAGCCACAATTCCCAACTCCACAAATGGATACAAATGGTTGCGGCTCCACCTTGTTGCGATCCACTGCTGAAAAAACGACTCTTTTTTTTGGGGGTTAACCAGGCATCAAGAAAGTAGTCATAGCCAAGCTGATGTATCCGAAGAATGGCTTCGACGAAAAAGAAGAGTGCAAAAAGTGCTTCGATTGCGAACCAGTAGGAGCGCTCCTGCGAACACAAAACCACAGTGCCACAGTCAACCATTGAACCTGCGTATTGTTGGAGGATACGACACTGACTTCCGACTTACATTCCCATTAAAATTATTTTACTTCGAGTGATCCCCACCATGGCTTTTCAAAGCACTCCGTGCTCTACTACAAACCCTTAGCTACAAGTCCCATTGCAAGACTCACAGCATTGTTTTATCATGTTTTATCTCAAGCAAAGCTTTTTGTGAGACAGATGCAGCAAACTCTCCAATTTCATTTTATCTTCGGAGATTCTTTGTGGTTGAGGTCCGGCGGGGAACACTCTGATCCAGAGCTTGCGGTGGAGGTCCGGCCGGGAACACTTTGATCCAGTGGTTGCTGTTAAGGTCCGGCGGGAAACACTGCGATCTAGAGCTTGCAGTTGAGGTCCGGCAAGGAGCGGAGGAAGGAGGAGGAAGGAGGAAGGAGGAGGGAGGAAGGAGGAGGAAGGAGGAAGGAGGAGGCGGGCAGGCTGATATAAAATCTGACAACCCTCACCTGACATGTGGGGAAAAAACATATTTGACAGTTATATAAATGCCATTTAAACATATTTAAACCGCATTTGATGTTGACTTGATACATCAAGGAAAGCCGCATCTATTACAACAAAACAGCAGCATCCCACTTTGAGCCACCCAGCCTCAATTTGACTCGAACGGGTGAGGTCCAATTCAATGCCAATCACCACCTGAGGCTTTCCCTGGAAGTTGGTCTTCCAGGGAATGGAATGATACAGTGCTGGGCCTGCAAGGGCCTGCAGAAACTATCCAAAATATGTTCTTTTGTCAGATTTTGATGTCTTTTCTTGAGACTTTTTTCCTTAACAGCTTTGTCATTTCCCATTTTGGTTTTAAACTGTGTCATACTGTGTCATTGTTTTTTCGTTTATAGTTTCATTTATGGGCGTTGGTTCGTGTGTCCAGTATGAGAAGCCCCAAAAAAAGAAGTGACAGCACAAAACAGCAGGAGCTGTAAAGAAGTGTGGTCATGATATATGACGAGGTTTTGATTAGCTACAATAGCATTGTTGATCACACATATCTGTACATGATTACTTGTATGGACTCAATAACTTTATGTGATCTCTGGCCAAATGTAAAACAGCATCAGCCGCTAGCCATGCTATAGCCATGCAGCAGTGTTGATAAAAATCATGATGATGACCAGCACGTTGAAGATCGGCCCAGAAGCTGTATGATTCCTGGCAGGCGTGTATTTCGCAACAGGCACAAGTTGCACCAGGTGTGATAAATTGTCACAATGATAGGGGCCCACACGGAATGTAGTTGTTACACTCCAACGCAGTCCAACAGTCCAGTTTTGATCATGTTTTATCAAACGTATAGCCGGATTCTCCAATTCAAATCCTAGTTACATGAAATACTACACGAAATCTTAGCAAACAACATTCTCCAAATCATGAGATCATGTAAGCAACAACTATGATCAACTATGGGGATTTCAGGTGGGGATGAGGTTGCTACGCCAAGGAACCGCTGAGCCAATACCTGCTCTCCTCGGATGACAAACTTCTGCAGCGCGATGACACCGTTGCTGGTATCGAGCACTGTTCTATTCATAATTGTTATATCACAATTGTTATAGAATATTTTTTATTTCTGGATAATTCTTATAGTTTTATCATATTTTAGCTTTATTTTGTTGCAGTTATTGTATTAGTGATTGCTGTGTATAAAATGTATAAATATATATACATATATATTATAATTATAATCTGTTGAAACCCCAAATCTGCTGCTTAATCATGGGATTATCCCTGCCCTTTTATATTTCATGCCGATTTGGGGGACATGGCCCATTTTCAGACACACCCTTATCCACGGTAACTATTTCTTGAGTTTGCACCCCGCACTTTTTTGTCGAGGTAATTATGTATATACTTTTGAGCCGCAGTCAAATGATGAGATCATCGCATGATTCAAGATGACAAGTGACATCTCAAGTGCAAAAAGAAACAAAAGGACATAAGTAAAAGGACAGCTGCATGTGCCGCTTTCGACGGGTGGCTGTATCGAACGTTGAGCTGCTGGAACACCGTCGGCACTTTGTGAACATTCGGACGAGTACCTTATGAAGCAAGCGTATTGCGAGGCGCCGCACAGCAACACGCAGCTCTGGCTGCCAAGGCACAAAATGGTTTTCCCTTCTGCTTCTTCTGCAGTAGCATGGCCTTGAAAAGTGGCCACTTTACATAAAATCAGTTATGAGCTTCATAAGCTTCTTCTCACGTAATTGGACTGGTTCAGGGCAAGTCTAGCTTTCAATCCTGCTGTCAGGGCTTCGCAGAAAACCTAGCTGCTCTGCACACACAAGGCAACAGTGACTTTGAAGCGATTTACTGGTTGGTGGTTTTCAAGAATCCCAAGCATACTGGTCATTTAGCATCATAGCCTCATAGCCCCATGTAGGATCGAAAATAGACAACCGACTATTGAAAGGCTCGCATGGATCAGCCCCTGACCAGCTACTGGCAGAGTGGGAGATATCTGCCGCCGCCATATCTTGAGCCAAGCACTGCGGATGGATTTCCTGTTCTTTCTGAATTGGGCTCGGTCTTCCATTGCGAGGTTTGAATGCAACAACTACAGTAGCTATACTACTGCTACTGTTTCCCCATGTCTCTTGTCATCTTGCTGTCTGGATCTCCCCTCCAAGACTCTTACTTTCAGCTCAGCAACTTCCAAGGCCTTCCGCATGGATTCTCCTGCCGCGGAAGCAACAAGCAGTTTTGCTCGCACTTCTAAAACACCCTACTCATGATATATATAAATATATGTGTGTAGTATATATATATATATAATTGCAGTGTATATATATATATTATAAATATATATATATAAAACACACACACATAAAATATAACATAACATATCGAAGAATATCTGTATCACATTGGTTTGTCTCAAAATGAAAGTGGTTAAATGTGCTGAATTATCATCATTTTCGAGACACCATTCTAAGACAAACCCACATGTTTATCCGTTCGGTGCTCCCCCTCTTGTACTCTTATTGCGATCATTCCTAGCACCCAATCTGCAAACACTGTCTAGTCTCCAGCACTGAGGTTTGCAACTCGCATGTGAAAATGTCCTCAGTCTCTCTCTCTCTCTCGCGTGTTTTTTTCTCCAATTGTTGCTTTCCAGTGAGGTAAGCGGTTCTGGTCAAGTTCTGGTCGCAAACATGCTATCTTCCGGCAGCCACCCAAGTCTTCAAACGTGCGAACTGTGAAGGAACGGGAGTTCAGCAAGTCAGGTGCGTTGCACATGGATCTCTGGTGCAGAAGGTGCCAAAGCTGAAATCATTTGAAACTTCTCCAGGTTTCTCAATGTGTCTCACCTGGTCCGGTTAGAAGCTACTCATCCGGCTCGCAAAAGTGGGATCAAGGGCAGTAGAAAGAAGACTAAGAAGACGTACTTCAGAATCATTGAGCAGCTGCAATGGACAAGACTCTACTGCAAACTTCAGTTTTGGTATTGAAGCTTGGAAGGGTACAAGTTGAATCAATCATGCATGGCTGCAAGTAGTCCGCCGCTGCAATGTTGAAGGCCCAGCCACAGTGCAGGTCAGCAGCACCCCCTTTGGAATTGTAGTAGTAACTGCACACATCATGTTTCAAGCAATTCCGCGCCCAGTTGGAACACGCATTTGCATGATTTGGTTGGCATCCCACCCCGCAGAGTCCGAGACAATCATAGGAATCGCCATCGGAATCAAGGCCCCAGCATTCACCCACCTGCACCACGATCTCCATGCAGGCTCCAAGGTGCCGCAGGCCTCCTGGTGCTCCACTGAAGAATTGCACCAGGACCTTTTGCCCAGGGATCAAACGGCCAGCGCGGACTTGGCATTTGGAGGCATCCCGAGCGTGCAGCATGCTGAGATTTGCAGCTGCAGTTTTTCCACAGGCCACAAAGCGGCCCGCAGTGCAATTCTGCGTGATTTCAGGGGTGCAAGGTCTGGAGTGAACCACTTCACATTCTGAGAAGTGGAAACACCCAATGAACGAAGTCAAAAGAAAGGCAATCTTCGTCATGGAATGCGGACTGCCTGGATCTGAACTAAGCTTGAGCCAGTAGAGCCACAGTGCCAGGGCGTTGGAGCACTGGGATGCACAGGGTCCAAGATTGTCAACTCCCGGAGGAATTCCCCAGTTGGTAACGAATCCCCAAGCCTTGTCAGCTCAAGCAGCTGGAGGCCATGCCGAACTAGCTGCATTTGGGAAGTTTCAACAAGGTTGGTTGATGTTTTCTGGCGGGTTATATGCTACTACCTGCACAGGGGATTACATACCATAATCATCCATAACCATCCATAACCCATGAACTGCGAATCCCTTCCTAAGTAAGCATTAGAAGGGATTTTACAAAACACTAAGCTGCAATGCACGCCCCCTTTTTTCAAATGGATAGCTGCCACATGCTGGCTCTGCTGGACAACCCCAGCAGAGACCAGCACATCATAGCCCCCGCATGGAGCCAGTTGCACTTGGGCAACACAAGGGGTTGGGAGGGTGGGGTTTCACAAATGATCAAGCCCGATGCATTCATCCACTGCAAGCTGCTGAACAAACATCCACAGGGCAGCAGCTGAAACACACATACCACAAAGGGCTTATGCAAGTGCAGCTGTAGTGTTGTTTCTTGCACTGAAAAGTGCAGGTGTCAAACACTAAGCTGCAATGCACGCCCCCTTTTTTCAAATGGATAGCTGCCACATGCTGGCTCTGCTGGACAACCCCAGCAGAGACCAGCACATCATAGCCCCTAACTGCAAGGTGGCAGCCTGCTGGAAAAAAGGGGGCACCAATAGCAATCCCCACTCAAGAGTGCCCCAAAGAGGCCCAAGGCTCAGCCAAAATCTCTAGAAGATCAAATTCTACCCGAAGCAAAGGGTTAAAACCTGACACCTTTCCACGGCTGAGGTCATCCGCCCAGCCATTGCGCTCTCCCGCGCAATGTGCAGAGGTGAGCTGCACACCGTGTGCCACTGCATGATAACTGATGGCCTGTAAAACAAAAGCAAGAGGTGCCTTCAATGATAGCATCTTCTGCGTCGATGCGGCCACGGCAGCATTGTCGCACAACTGCCTCATAAGCAACACATGATGAGCCGGAGACTTGATCCCACGCACACGCCCTAGCAAGAGCAAAAGCTGCCCCAGAGCTTCGAATGAAGCTATGTAGGATTGAAGCTTCTCACAAATGAGCCATTCCGGCAAGTTCCACTTGCCCAAAGAAATGCTGAACCAAAAAACTTGATCTTGGCGCGCGCTCTCTGCAGTAGGCGCCCACCAGCCACCCACACCAGCAACTGATGCGGTTGCAAATGCATCTGCTGCGCAAGGTATGAACGACTCTTCAATACGTCTTAAGGGGATAGACTGATGTTTAGCCACGGCATTATAAAAAAGCTTGCATGCCCACATGGATGCCAAATTTGTACGGACAGAAACACTGCTGTAGTTGAAGAAAACACAATCTACCTGTCCTCGCTTCAAACGTGGAGACACTAAGGCATCCGCACCCAATGAAGACACGGCGCAGTTGGCGACAGCATGCAACACCCATCCTTGCTGTAGATCGCAACATTCCATGTGACCTGTCAAAGCTAACTTCGTGTCCAACAGTTGACGCAGCACCTCAAACTGATGGGGGGTAACTGATCTGAATACGCAGAGTGGTTTATACAGCAGATGATACAGAGCTTGTAGCCAAGGCCGCAGATGCACAGCACCACCCGAGTACCATAGCAAAAGACCAATAAGACGTTCAACAGTTTTGCGGTCCACCTTCTGTCCACTGGTGCAAAAAGGGCTCAACGCTTCCAGAATTTTCTGCGACTTGTCATCCGGCAACTGTATGTAACCAGATGAAAAGCAAAAACGCCATCCGATCCAAACTAGCTCGTCCCCCAATTTAACCTTCTTCCAGCTCAAAGGGACACCCAAAGCAGTCAGAAAGGCCAAGCAGGCCGAAGCAAGAAGTGGAGCAACATCCTTAGGAACCAACACCAGGCCGTCACCCACGTAAAGGAAGCAGGCGTGAGAAATCCAGAGAAATCTGTGCAACATCCTCACTAGCCAGGCCCCCACGCGAGACCACCAGTATGCCGAATACTTTGCACCGAAATAGCACGAACGGTAAACAAAAAAATCGTTACCCAGCGCGAAACAACCGAGCCCCTGTTCTTCAGGCTTGACACGAATCAGCTTGTGGGCCGAAGCAACATCAAAGCTCAGAGCAACCCAGGCCGAACCACTCCCGGACTCTGACAAAAATCTTTGCACGCTGCTCAAGCCAGGAAGACGTGCTTTCTCAGGAATAATGCAAGCTCGATTTGCTCCGCTGATACTTCCATCTCCAATCAGCCGAGGTTTACGGCCCGGAGCTTGTACAACGCCAAGGCGACCGGCAGCAACATTCGAACCCCACTTCTGCACTGCTTCAGCAGCACCACCAGGAAGAATGTAAGCAAAACCAGCAGAAACATCTTTCATGAACAATTCACGCGCGAGCTCAACATTGTCAGCAGCACTTTTCCAGGGAACAAGGTGAACGCACAATTCATTCTCGAGCTCAGTATCACAATCTTCTACTGCATCCCAAACACCGGATGCAGATATCTTGGAAAGAATGCCAGTGGGAACGCCCTCTGTCAACAACTTTGGCAAGTCTTTGTCCATGTCAGAAGTTGCACGTGTCAAAGCCCGCCAAATGTCCAGCAAAAAGGGCTGGTGAATTGGAATCTCACAGCTGCAAGGAAAACCTAGTGTGTCTAAAGCTTGTGCAAGACTACCTTGAAGCTGCCCCTGCTCAGATTCAGAGAACAAATGCTGTTCTGAGCCTTCGCTAATATGCCTCAAAAGCCGGGGCACAACACCCCAAGACCGCATCCAATGCAAAAACTTTCCGCGCAAATATTTCAACCTATCTACAGGTTCCTGAGGGTGAACCCAGCATGCTGTAGATAGGCGACCACCACCATCTGCGATGGGGATGGAACAAAAGGAAGCCAACGGGGAACTTTTCGCAGGAGCCAAATCTGCGCAACAATGCTGATCAAAACTTGCTTCTGGGCGGGCATCCCTTTGGCTGCCAGTGCCATATTGTACCTGAGTTGCCAAATCAAAACCGGAAGACGCAGCAGAGCGCACCACAGCATCCTGGGCAACAACAGTTCCATGATCCGCACAAAAATCCGACGCCAGCAATGGCATACTGACCGCAGCCGCTTCATCACCTGACCCTGGCCCTAGTCACTCCCGGTCCTCATGTGCAAACTTGCACTCATCACCAAACCTACACTTGCCATCCTTTTGCCATGCATGGCACTTCCTGCGCTTAACGGCCGGATCTGCCTTTCGGCGCTTCAATGGCACCCTGTCTCCCTGTTCTTTGTCCTGCAGCCGCTTGCCAGCGGCTGGGGTCTTTGTGGGCCCCTTGGGCAAATGCAACAGCTTGTGCCGCAATAAGTCTTCACGCACAACGCTATCCAAAGCATCTTCAAACGTGACATCATCATGGTACACCATGCGAAAGACCTCGCCCATGACTTCCTTGTCCGCCTCTTCTGCCTCGGTGGGGGAAATCAAACGAAAAGCAGTTCCCGGCCGCTTGGTGTAGTGGAAAAGAAAGCGGTTAACATATTTCATCCAGGAATGCAGGTGTCCCACCGAGCACATTGAATACGCATGAGC